AAACGTTGATCGTAAGTAGCGTGGCGCGGGCGTGGCGGATCGGTCGATCCGTCCCGCGCCTGCTCCCGCGGCGGTGGGGCCCCTCTGGCCCGCTGCGCCGTGCGCCGGCCGCGCCACCTCCACGGGCTCCTCCTCCTCCCGTCGCGAGTAGTCGCCTCGGGTCCGCATACTGCACCGGCAACACCTCAGTCAAGCGCCCCCGACCACGCCCACCACGATTTCCCGACAGTTTCCGAAAAACTTCGGCGAAAGTACCGACACTGATATCACAGGGCTTTCGACTGACTCGACACAATTTCCAAAGCCCGAGTGATATTTTCATCAATATTCCAAGACTTCATCGCATAGAAGGGAAAAAAGAGGAGTAGAAAAAACATAGAAAAATAAGGAAAGATGAGAAAAGAAGGAAAAAGAAAAAGGGATATGGAAAATAAAGCAGGAGACGGAAAGGAAGGAGGAAGAGAAGGAAACAAAAAAAGAAAGGAGAAAAGGAAAAGGAAAGCAGGTCAGATTTCCTTTCCAGATTTCCTTAGTCCTCCACAATAGCAAATTTTCTAAGATTTTCTTTATAACCAAAAGGCAGAAATAATTACACTCTGAAGATAAATGCGAAAATGAAATAAATAAATAAATAATATATAAAATGTATAAAATAATATAAAATATATAAAATATAATAATATATAAAATATATAAAAATATAAATATAAAAATATATAAAAATCAAATATATAAAATAATAAAATGTTAAAATTATTGTGAAATAAATACGTAGGTAGGAGAAGAAGCGCAGATGCACCTGCTGCGCTTGCCTGTTTGGCCTATGCGCGGGGGGGCGGGGCGCGGGGCCGGGCGCGCCGGGCCGCTGCGCCGCGCCGCCGCCCGGGCGCCGGACGTAGGCGGGGCGGGCCGCCGCACGACGGCCGCGCGTAACGCGCGTCCTCTCTCGCCCGACTGCCTCGATATATAGGGTGAAATTGCATACAGCGCAGTTGCATGCAGTTGTGTGTAACATTTGCCCCTGATTTTTTGACAACCCCGTATGCACTGATGTTTGGCAGATCAAGTTCTGAGGCAGGCAAAATTCCATGTACCTGCCGAACGTCTGCGCATACGCAGTTGCCTAAAAAATCAGGGACAAATGTCACATGTCTAAATGCCTAAACCTCCGTTATATACAGTTTCGCACGTCCCGCATTGACAAAAAGTGGCCATTTTCGAGTCCTCTACAAGCCCTAGAAGTTTTGAACATTCATTCTGATACAATGTATACATAACGTGTTATTTCACTCGGCAATGTAGATCCTAACTTTTATTTACTATTTTACTTGTATTCTCTATTTAATGCGACGATTGGTCCATTCTAATGCATAGGTGCGGCGACACCCGCTGCGCAGCCCGTCCGCCGCCTCACCCACCGCCCCCGCCGTCGCCGCGCAGGACGCGGACCTCGATCAGCCCCGCTCCAGGTGAGGACAGCATGGAAAGCGCCATATTTTAACGATTTTTTCTACTCACATTGTATCTTGTACATTTTGCTGCAGGTTTTATTTATATTTAACGACCAATATATTTTAAAACTGTGGGAGATACTATGGGGAGAAGTGCAATAAGGGTATGCATTCTTGAGCTCTGTTCTAATTCATGTACATGTTACGCTGAATTATGAATACATGCAGCTACAAGCACGTATTATAATAATATACATTATAAAACAGCGACATTATATGGCAGGTATTTGGTGTTTAACAGCGATGTTTGCAAACCAAGTTGAGACGTAATGGTTCCTTAACATTTTTGGTTCGTTTGATTACCCTTATGAGCTTACGGCAAGCGATGAGGTGACGCATTTAGTTCTCTAAGCTCCACTTTTCTGGACATATTTCTCATATCCCAGAAAATTTGGAGACATAGGGCCAATGCAGTACTGTTATAAATATACTTCTGTTTTGCTTTTAAGTTTATTTGGCTAATTACACTACCATAACATGTTCCATTTTAATTTTTTTATTCATAACATTTTCCCCTATTTCAATTTCAAAATAAATTGAACTATTAAAATTTTCTCAAGAGAGAATGGATCCATCGTTTGCTCTTACTGGTAAGAAGAAACAATTTTCTGCGACGTGATAGAACTAATGTTGGCGACAGGTGACTAATCAGCAGAATATTCGGTTGCTGAATTGAATGATCTAAGAAATCTATTGAAATAAATTTTCATTGCTTGAATGTTTTGCGTCAGCGTGAGTTTTCTTAATAATATATTTTTGACAAACTAGTGTAATGGATTAATTCTTGGGAGATTGCATTTTTATAGTGATATCAATTATAAATCGGCTTATTATAGACTCTCAATGAGAAACCAGTATTTTAAAATAGTCTTGTTTAATAAAATGGAATTATGGAGTTATATAGTAGATGGTATTTAAATAAAAATGATATAAAATGCATTGTAGTTATGTAGTACAGGAATCAGAGCCGAACTAATATTGTATTACAATATCATGGTCAAGATATTGAAGTACTGAATATATGTATTAAAAACGATTATGAATGTAAATATACACTTTGCCACTTAAAATGTTAATTTAAAAATGTTTTTACGAATCTATGAAGTGAAATAAAATTTCTGATTGAGTGACTTGTCGTCACAATACAGCAAAGGACTAAGCACGTTGGATGGAATTGGATAATAAAAAGACGATGTGATAGTTCCTTTAATTTCAAAGTGTCCATAAAATCACCTGTCATCTTCCCATCAAAGAATTTCACTCCACCTGAGGCTAGAAAATTGTTTCGGTGGTCACCGCAGGTCCTTGCATGTGCTGATCGGCAGCTCTCTTGGCCCCAATAAGACAACTCGGCGCGGCCTCGTTCGCGAGGGCCCAATCATCGCATGTAGGCTCGCCACTGTGACGTCATGCGCGAAGAGCCGATGTGGCGCCAGTGCCGTTCGTGCTCGGAGCATTAATCTTGCCGGCGGACGGACGACAGGTGCAACATAATCTGGTCGCCAGCCGGCAGGTCACTTCGTCAAGGAACTTCGCTCTCTCGCTACAGCCTGTTCTCTTTCATTTTGTCGTGGCTGGATACCGCGATAAACGTTAAGACAATATTTTGTTATCTAATAAAGGAGCTTCATTCATTAATTGTTTTAATTGAAACGCTTACAGCATAAAAATGAAAAGAAATATTTTTTCTTTAGTACGCGAAAAAAAAAAACCTCATTAACATTTACAAGTTCGATCGCTTGAAAATAAAACTTCGATTTTTTTATACATATCTCATCTTCACTAGAAGTTGACTGGAGTCCAAAAGCAACGTGTTGCAGTTAGTTAAATGCTAAAACAATAGCATTGGAAATAAGCCGTTATCCGAAGGTACATGCTTCCCGGATCTATTGAACCAATTATAGTTATTAGACTAAATATTATTCTTCGTTGACTTTATATTGATACTTTTAACATTTTCCTAGTTTTGCATTGTACTGGGAGATTGCTAGAAGCGTGTAATAGTCAAATACAAATTTGTGCTTCGTGTACTTGTGTGAGTCCTGTTAGCATTATATGGGGCTGTGAATACAATTATGCATTTTGGAGTTTATGGGTTTGCATATTAATTGACTGATTTTGTATATAATAAGCAGAGCTCAATTTTAAATCTTTTGTGCAGCTATTGAAATATCTAACAAGATGTTTTAGAAACTAGGAGTGATCGGCAACTTTGTTTTAATATTATTTTGTGCATGATTTGTCAAATAGCGTGTGTTATTTGTGGATTTATTGTCCATCATCATTTCCTGCAAACCCATTAGTTCATCAGCGTTTATTCTAAAAGAATTATTCAGAGATTTGTTTATTCTTCAGGGGAAGAAACTAAACATAATTCCATGAATGTAGAAAAAACATATTGAACCATCAAGTGCAACTAATAAAAATTGTATATTTTTTTCAGTTTCCTGAACTAAAAGACAAGATGACTGAGATATTTTGGCTATAATCTAAGTCTGTTATTTTGAACAGTAGGTTCTTGATTTCAAATGCTAAAATGCAAAAACTGTGAATTTGGCAGACGCACAATTCGTACACAACCGTGCTGCAAAAAACTGTCACTAACGAGTTGAAATGATAAACGAGAAATGACGTTCATTTTGGCACACTTTTGTTTAGACTCTGCGTTTCTACCCCTGATTCCATACTAAGATGATTGTGGAGGTTTGTGAATTCAAATGAGTTGTGAAATTAAACATTTTGGAGGAACTGTTACTTTATTAAATTAATATCTTGCTAAACTATTTAGACAAGTTAAATTATTCACAAACTAAAATATCACTTTGGCATTATATTACATCTTAGCGATCCCAAAATCTTTTAGCAAAAGATTGCAAAACGGAACTAAGAAAAATTATTGTTATTTCTAACAAATTCCAAGACTTAGAAAATCGTATTTAAAATTCTTGCCTGCAGGAGCATATGCCTTTGCAATCAGTATGAGGTCAGCTTTTAATAAAATTAATCTTATTTCGTAATAAAAATAGATTCAAACAAAATAATTTTGCCTCCCTTTTCCAAAAGAACACACCAATAAGATTTCAGTATTCATAAAATGTAATAGCCTTTTCATAAAACTTTACTGTTATAATAACGGCCGGTGTCCTATAAAGATATAACTATCCGCCGTGCATTAAAAACATTCGAAACAAAAGAATTGTAACTGGAAATGGCGTATGAGTAGACTTATTCAAAGATATGAAATTTCATGTTTACATGTTTTTCTTTTTTTTAAGAAGATGCTATTAGGAAAGGCACTGAATGACACGACAAAACAAATAACATGCTCAGTTTCTTAAAAACGTGTGTTCACGAACTTGAAACGCGTCTGTTTTTTTATGTTATCGACGTAATAACTGTTAACGTTACTGTTGACGTTAATGACTGTTTCATTCCCCAATGCTGCCACCTTTCTCCTTGCTGACGAGTGTGACGGGCGGGTGCCCTAGGTTCGAGGCCCGGCAGTCGGTGCGACCCGACGCGTCCCAGGACGCAGACCCGCGCCAGCGGTGGAGCCAGAACCCAGGCCGAGGCGAGCCACAGCCTCAGCCTCCACCCGCCGACGACCAGCGACAGAGATACGAATCGCGCACCCCGACTAGAGGAGACTATACATCTGACACTGACACTTGGGCACGCTACGAGTCAAGAATGAGAGATGCCCCCATCGACTTGCTGAGGTACCCAGCGGCCAGATTCCAATCAGCCCATATGACTCAGTCCTGCCTACTATCTGATGCGCGGGGGACTGGTTTATTACTTTTCTACACTGTATTTCTCCGCTTGCTCTCTCTTCGTTTCTCCGCCTGTTTATCTCGGAAAGAAATCAACGCACTCGTGGAATACACGCGTTTCGTAATAAGGATCATCCTACGCTTGAAATTTCAAATGTTCTTTGGCTCTTTGCCGCAACTTTTATTGGCAAGCAGAGTACTGACGTAAGGAAACGTTAGCATAATGGTCTCAATGACCTAAGCTTTAGATATATCTTACAGACTTTTGCATTTACGGAGAAAAAGTTTGCTTCTTTTGACTTCTAGACATCAATTTAGCGTTTTATAATTTCCCTAAAGCTACATTAGTAACCAAAGGACTATTAAGTCCCAAGATTATGAAGTTTCAAGTAGTAATTTGTTAGTATAAACTTCATCCTCTTTTGCCTTACTACAGCTATTTCTTTCACTTTAAGCTGACTTTAATATGCTTCTTCTTAGTGCCTCTGCGTAACTTCTACATACTACTGCCGTACTCATTAAGGCTACAGATAGGAGAGAACGATGCAGTTAGAAACCGAATTCTTCGGGCTCATAATACCTGACATAAAAGTACATTTATTTAACAACACAGATACTCAGTACCAAGTGTGGATCATTTGCATTGTAACGAGTTCCCAAGCAGAATTACTCGGTCAGTGTCTGCTTCAAGCGCTTTAGCCGTCAATTCAAATAACAAGTGTGACGCTGTGTTCTCTCCTATCTCTAGACTTCATGGACATTCTGGAACGCTCTAATACCCGTTCTCCGGTGTCTAATAGCTTTTCTTCCTCCTAGCAGCTCGCAGCGTCTTTTCGGGGGACCCTCGCTGCTTTCTCCGCTTCTATTTCAGCCGCCTGCAGCCTCAGGTTCAGCGCACACGACGCACACGGCGACCCATTCCGCTCCGATCAGACTAGGCCGCTCCGCCCATCTGACCTTTCTAATAATAAGAGCGGAGCTTCTTTCCAAAGGCACGGCCTCCAAGAAACATTTTTTTCTGGAAGGAATGTTTGATTAGTGATTCCGGGCGCGTCAACCGGTAAGGTCTTTACTCCCGTTAGCGTAGTGCATGTGTTTTCCTCGGAAAGTGGCGTTGATCTTTTACCTCTGGATGGTGAGATCCGGCGCCAATATAAACGTCGGCTGGGGGAGGGGGGAGTCCAAACCAGGTATCTCCCAGCAGCGGGGACAAGCTCTAAGTTCCTGATTGGTCTCCCGATATGTGAGCTAGTATGGTACATGTAAGTGCGTACAAGTAAACGGTGAGGATAGGGCAAGGAAGGGAAGGAAAAATCGCGTGCGGTCTGTGGCGGATGCAGGAGCCATACCGTAACAAACCAGTCACGGACCGTGCGGAATCTTTCCTTCCTCATCGTTGTTTTTCTTTCCTCTCCATTTACACGCCCACTAACATGCACTACACTACTACACCTGTCGAGAGCTTAGGGCTGGTCTCGGCTGGGGCGGTGCCCCGTTGGGAGATGATTTCTGGAGAGGAAAATGGGCCGACGCGTTGGTCGGCGACGGACCTCACCTATAAACTTTACTGCATTTCGATCGTCGTCTACCCGTTAAAATTTCCCTTTCATCCTGATTTGCAAGCACTTTCTTCACTAACAAGTCATGCCGGAATATGTGTCCCATATTGTTCAAAAAGCATATTTCGCCTTGCATCACCTCAATATCCCCAACCCCAGCAGGGGAGGAACACCGCTGTCTCCCCGGATGGGGAGGTAATGCTAATGCTAACGGGGACTGGTAATGCTAACGGGACGAATGACCATACCATGAATTCTCGGCTATCCGGGAGACGCCGCGTCGCCCGGATAGCCGACAATTCATGGATTCGAGCCGCGGAAGCTTACGTATACATAATGACCATACTAGTTGTCGCGCCCGGCAACATGGAGGAAGGAGTCGGAGCGGAGCGTATTGGACCGCTGTGCGCGCCGCGCTGCTTCCCTGGGCCGCCCGCGCATCGCGTGCCCGGCGCGCGCGCCGTCCGCTGAGCGGTTTGTGACGCGTTACAGGACGCGCGACAGCGCCTCCGAGTCGGAGGGCCGGCCGAGGTTCGAGTCGCGCACCCCGGGCCGCGGCGGCGGCGGCGAGACGGTCGAGGCGGCGCGCGCGCCGGCGGAGGGCGACGGGCGAGGGCAGCGGTTCGAAGGCCGCGGCGCGGCCAAGGCCGCCGACGCCGAGCCCAAGGGCCAGGACGCGCGCGCCAAGTTCCCGACCAGGGCCGAGTACGACCCCCGCCCAGCCAAGCCGCCCGGCCGCACGCTCGCCGGGGAGGTAAGGCCCTTCACCTTCAACCCTGCACCTCAAAATAGTCGTTCCGTTTTTGAAATAGTCACACACAACTTTCTTCCAGAGATAGTCGTTGTTAAGTGGCTGTGACGCTACCAAAAAGCCTGATCGAGATGAAAATTTGGATATTTGCAGATGGTGTTAAGGTTGAGAAACGTTGGTGGTCAAATGTTTTGTGTGAATATGTCAAAAAAAATAGTAGTTACATCTGTTGGGTTCAAGATTGATTTTTCCCAAATACGAGTCGTTCAAAAATTAATAATTAACACTATTGAATGACATTCACACATTAAAAGAACAGTCACTCATTTAATTTTTATTTATTCGGTTTCATAATCTCTGTATTTATTTGAATTTTTGTCTTATGTGTATTTATTTATGTATTGGGTAGAAAGTAAAAGTGTATTTAGTGTTCAGAAACAAAGCGAGGGGTCATCTGTATTTATCCTCAATGGAGCAAGAGAAACTGAAAAAAGACTGATCGAGATGAGGGATCACTGATCCAAAAGATGTTGAAATTACTGTTAGAGGCATATTCAGTTTTTTAGAACTCAAGCTTTGTTTATCGCTACCAACTCATTTCAGTAGTTCAAATCTATCTTATTCCCACCTAAAATGACGAGAGCATATCCCGTTCGTGTCCAACTGCGAGATCGCGAGATTTTTGTGCCTTTTGTAAAAATGCCACTTTTGGAATGAGCTGCTTTAGAAAGCAAACATCTCAATTATTGATTTCTAAAGGAAACTAATGCACTTACATAATTGTTATGAAATAAAAATGTATATTTTTTATTTATAGTATAGTTTCGTGGTTATTTGCATTCAAATCTCAGTTGTTCCGTAAGAAGTTCACGTCGAAGAGGCTAGGAGGGGACAAGGTTTTGAGTTTCTCCATCCCCCGATCCTCATTCTACCATTGCTTCATCGTCATTCATCCCGACATTAATTCCTCCTCAAATAAATGGTCATCCCTGGTATAGGGAAAACCTCGAATTCAGGTTCAAGTTTGTTTTAACAATAACAGCAATATTAATAATATCATACATCTACGTATGAACACTAGGTATGGTATTTCCCGAACGATAGTTTTACTAAGTTGAGGAGCCGTACTACACTATCATATTGCGCATCCTAATCAAATTTAGCATTAGATTGGTCAGGCTAACCCAAGGAACGGATAAATGCAATTGAGACCGTTTATTGGATAGTTCCTGACCGCAAATGGAGGAGTAAAAACTTATCGGCAATAGTGATTTTTTTAGTAATTAATACTATGGAATAAACTAGGGAATAAATTGATCCATTTGATAGTCTTCAGGTAATGCTCCAAAATAATTTTAACAAATTCCTGTCTTTTTGCTATGCCTTATTGTTCACTAATTCTTTTTTCAAGTTATATTGAACTTGATTTTTAATGATTTATATTTTATTAAACTTTATTTATCAATTGTTTTTAAAGAGGTTACATTGGGTCTGAAGCTCAATTTAAGTATGTTAAGAAAAAACATAATAAAAACATGAAAAGCATATTACATAATACAAATAGGCTAATCGTAGTGACAATTCACCAATATGTGGGACAAATGAGCATTTGAATGACGGGTATTTGCAGATACGGATGCAGTTTATCAATACAAATCGAGGAGCTCAGTCACAGATTATTACGAAAACGGAGATTCAGTTAAATACAACAATGTAGTGTTACCAAGGTTAACTCTATTTGGAACGAAACTTAACTAAACTACATTAAATCGTGGTCAAACTGTACACAGCTCACTGCTAACTAACGTGTAAACTGCTTTATCTTGTCCCAAGAAGACCATAATAACCATCCAACGAGTTAATGTATTTTTCACGTCCGTTATATAATTTTTGGTGTCCATCACTTGATAGTCAATTGCATACTTTGCAGTTTTGCAATGACGTGTATACGCATCGTGCGTGTGTTATATCTCAAACAAAAACACTATGTGATGTTGCTTCATAAGTTTTATATATGGCTAAATTATCCCGATCTTAAGAATATTGTCGAGGACACGTATACTTGCCGGATGACGAAGACAACCAGAAATATTTATGTACCAGACAGGTCCTCTGCAACTTTCCCTGGTGATTTCAAGTTTTCTCGCGTTTTCTCTCCAAGGACACGACTAGTGTGGATTTCTAATTAATTTAGTGTGATGGGCCAAGCAGACAGTCGCGCTTCATAGCCGTGGTATATCTGCCAGATCTCTGCCTGCATCTTGCGTGACACGCGTAATTCTTGTCTTATTAGTAAGCCCTCGGAATCTTAGCTTGAACCTATTCTGTTCCCATTCTCGTATTTTAAAAATATCGGCACTTTTTTTCGTTTTATAAACCATTGCAAAAGAGGTATGTAAATTCTATAGAACGCTATTTGAAATTATTTTTTAACACCCGGTAGGCTAGTTGACAGAAGTCTTCACATATTCCCACATATCCGCTTTTCTCTTCAGTATCCAGTATTCATCACTCTTGTTGTAATATAAAATTTACTGCATTCCAATCGTCATCTACCCCTTAAAATTCTCCCTTCATCCTGTTTTGCAAGCACTTTCTTCACTAACAAGTCGTGCCGGAAAATGTGCCCCATATGTTTTAAATTGTTCAAAAAGCTTCTTTCACCTTGTCATGTTCATCTATGTCATGTTCTTGTGGTATAAGGTAGGTACGGTAAGAGTTTCCTTGGAATTCTAGCAATAAGAAAACCGCGGGTATTAAGTATCCACCTCTTGCTTGGTGTGGCTTGGTGTTCAATCATGCAACGTAATTGTAATTAGTAATAGTGATGTGCATTAGCGTCTGATGAGACGTAAGGATAATTATTAAGTAGAATTTCGGAACAAACCTTGTACAAAACTTCAGGCTTTGATACTGGTCTAATCAGACATAATAGATAACCTCGAGATTTGTAGAGTTGAGTTTATGTCGCTAGCTTTAAGGAAAATATAAATAGATATCTGAAACATTTTAATGTCACATCTTTGGCCTAAGTTTGTCTATATGTAAATTAGATTTTTGGATGTTGAGATGCTGGGATTTGGTCAAATTAATAAAAACACCAAATCATTAAGTTTGCCGGTTAAAAATACTTTATTCCAGTATCAGATATGGTGATAAAAATTAAAACAACAGCACTATAAACGTACATCTAGCACTCACACATAATTATCAATTGAAAAAATATAATTGATGTACATAAATGATTAAGAAACTGTACCCTACTTCTCAAAAGTTACAAAAAATTCATAACGTGTCATTGGCATGGATACCACAACTGCAGAGCACATACAAAAGGAGTGATTACAGGACGAGTGTCCACAAGAAATTCTACACAGAACCATCGCAGACCAAGGCATCATAGCAAAATAATGAGAGATTCATTGTTATGATACCTTGGCGGTGGATCTATGAGGAATGGACTCTCGTCTTGTAACCACTCCTTGTGTATGTGCTTGCAGTTGTGATATCCATGTCTCTGAGATGCTATGAATTATTTTGTATCTTTTGAGAAGTAAAATTAGTTCCGTTCCACATCTCAACTTCCAACAATGAAGTCCATGGCCGTGAGTGACCGTGTCTAAAGTGGTTAGCAATTGTCGCTAAGAAGCCAAAGAATGGAAAAGCGCCCCGAGGCTGGGCAGTGACTGGTCCGCTGTGTTGACCAGGCGAAGTTCTCCAACGGACGCGGCGGCCCCACCACGGAGGAGCCCGCCTCGGGCGCCGCCCCCGCGCCCGCCCCCGCCCCCGCACCGGCGGAGGAGCAGCCCCGGCAGCGCTTCGAGCCGCGCACACCAGGGAAGTACTCGCCGCGGCCCGCCACGCCCCCGCCGCCCCCGCAGGACCTTGACAAGGCCGTCAGGTGAGCCCCGTTCAACCCCCGTGCTTGGCGCTATGAATGTTGTACGCACTTTACATGTTGCAAGTGCTTTGAAACCGGGAGAGATGGCTCAGGGAATCTACTGATGCCACTGCAGTCCTTCTGGCCGGGAAGTTTTAGATTCGAATACTGACGGTGGCAGGATTTTCGACACTAGATTGTCTGCTACACTATGTTATCAAAAGTATTCGGACACGTCCAAATCGGTGTTATGGTGTGGTCGTGTTTCTCATGGAGGGAGCACCCCTTGTTTTGTGTGGCACTACGACGGCACAGGCATACGTTGATGTTTTAAGCATCTTCTCGCTGTCCACTGTTGAAGAGCCATTCGGGGATAGCGATTGCATCTTTCAACACGATCGAGCACCTGTTCATACTGCACGGTCTGTGGCGGTGTGCTTACACCACAATCACATCCCAGTAATGGACTGGCCTGCACAGAGTTCTGACTTGAATCCAATCGTACACCTTCGGGATGTTTTGGAACGCCGACTTCGTGCCAGGCCTCACCGACCTACATCGATACCTTTCTCAGTGCAGTACTCGTGAAGAATGGGCTACATTCCCCAAGAAACCTTCCAGCACTTGATTGAAAGTATGCCTGCGAGAGCGGAAGCTGCCATCAAGGCTAAGGGTGGGCCAAAACCCTATTGATTTCCAGCATTACCAGCATGGGGGGCGCCACGAACTGGTAAGTCATTTTCAGCCACGTATCCGGATACTTTTGATCACATAGTGTAGGTCGAGTTCAGTCCCTGTCTGGAGGAGAAATCTACCGGCCGGCTGCTCTGATCGGTTTCCGTGTTGTTTTCCGATCAGCACCAGGCGAATGCCGAAACAGTACTCTAATAAACGGGCAACGGACCGCGCGCAATATTACCTTCCTCTTCTTTGTGCTATCCTCACCCCTTACACCCACTTACACTTACATGCATTACACTACCACACATGCCGAGGGACCGGTCGGGAGCTTACGACTTATCTCGGCTAGAGCGGTGCCCCGCTGGTGGAGATACCTGGTTGGGGAAAACCCCGCTAGCAGACGGTAGGTCGGCACCGGATCTCGGAGGTTGGATGGTCGGTCGGACCATACAGCGGGGGAAGATAACCGCCACCTCCCGAGCAAAAAACGCACTACACTTACGGTACTAATGACCATAATAGTTGACGCGTCCGTATTCATTAACAATCAATCAATCAAATAAACAAGTGCTTGAAAGGATATTAATAACAATATAATAATAATAATAATAATGATAATAATAATGATAATAATAATAATAATAATAATAATAATAATAATAATAATAATAATAATAATAATAATAATAAATGTCTTCGTTGCCAAGACGTCAGACAAAAGACGAGTCTCACTGAAACTACTTATTTACAGACGAACCTCCTATGTACAGTAATTTAATTATAAATAGCCAAGTTTATTACTCAGGATTACAGAACATTATGCTTAACATTTGCCTGTCTGAAGAAAACTCATGTGTCACCTGTTATCCCAAAATTTTAAATGGTCACAGATTATTGTAAGAAACTTTCTCTAGCTATTGAAAATTCAACCATGAAAACTTATTCAGAAAACTTTGCTGTAAAAAGCCTTTTTTAATCTGGAAATTCAATCAATTGAAAACTGATAAATGTTATTGCAATGTTAGTAGTCATATCGTGTTGGTGTTAAAATCTACAGCATTGCATTATACCAGGTAAATGAGGTAAATTTCTTACGACGTTTACGAAGTGTCTATAAAGGACGTGACACCCCCAGCGGTAAGGAAAGTCGTGTGGGTATGCGAGTCTCGTTTATTCCCCGTGGATGTACGTGGAAGTCGTGAGTGTTTGCAATTGTGCGCTCATCATGGTGGGAGAAGTTTGTAAAGGTTAAAATTATTTTATGAAAGTTGAGTATTTCCCTGGGGAAACTCAATTCAATTATCTCATATATATATATATATATATATATATATATATATATATATATATATATATATATTCCATTAAAAATACAAGTGCCTTTGTATAAAAATACGTTTCTGGTGTATAGAAAAATGCCTGCTTTATTCACTAGCTATTACACTATACATCGTAAATACGTACGGTTCCGCGAAAGAAAGGGGGTCAGGAATGGGGAAGAAAATGACTAGAGAAATCTTGACAAGAAACCAAAATCTGTCTTGTCTCCGTGTTATTAACTACAGACCTATAAATATTTAATGAGCAACGTGTTCTCCCTTCCGGTGAATGCAGTTAGCATACGACAAAGTGCAGGAAGCCATCTGAGCAAGTTGCAGATTTCTACGTCGGAGCACCTTTCACTCGGGTGCATTGTAATTCCTACCTTCCCATTTCAAGTCGTTCTGAACAAAAAGATATCACTTCTGATAAAACTGGCATAACAAAAGCTTTGAACATTGTTCTCTACGTGGGGGAATAAACTTGTTCTTTCCATTTATCTGCATTCTCGGTTGCTTTTGAAGAGACGGGACTTATCATGAGAAAGTAATTAATTTATCCAGCTTTTCACCTGTACAGATGTTGCATTACGTAGTACACTTACAAAACAGAAAGATTAATGCTACGTCATGATCATAACACCAGTTAAATATATTCACTTTCCGAATGAAGATAGTTTGTCATGAGACTTGTGATGAATACTAATATATAGTTTATCATGTTGTACAAGTCGGTTTAGTATCATTAATATTAAAGGAGTCACATAGTTCATAAAATAAAATTAGTTTTATATATTGTAATTTTTGAGTCAAATGACTCACAATACTCACAAATACTTCCTCGTGCTTCCTTTAGATTTCGAAGTTTACAGTTCTTACAGAGAACAAAACATTTGTACACTGTACACCACTCTATTGTATACTCCTCATTTGTTCAGCTAACAATTCATAATATTTTCAATTCAAGATTCACAAGATGAATCGCATGACTACTTGTATCAGTCTAGAATCTTCTGCGTAGTACCGTAAGTGAAAGTTCCAGTTGTTGCATAAAATTTGCTTTGTAAATGAAGGTAAAAATATGTCGTTCAATATCCGACCTTAATTTTGGAAAATAAAAAAAATGATTATGAACGTGTTCGGATTTTAGGATGGGCTAAATGAACTGGAATTTCAAAGCCACCAGAAATGGGAATGTTTGATTGTTTGATTTAAAATATTTGAATATAAGATAAAAACTATATAAAATTTCGAATTAAAATTTTGCTAAACAATTGTATTTTATCAGTTGCGAAATAATGTTATATTTTATTTTGATGAAAATTGTATATTATGAACAATTTACCTCTTTAATAATTGCAAGATGAGAAAACTTATTAAAATATCGTTTAATTAAATTTTAATGAATAATAGCAATAATAATTATTAATATCATTGGTAATAATTAATAAATATTTATTATTGTTACTATTATTATTAAAATAATAGTATTATTGGAACCTGAAACATTGAAGATAATAAATGAAGAACTGATAAAAATACAAATATTATTTATGTACAAAAACAACAAATATATTAACAGAATACATATATATTAACAGACAAAAGGAGAAAAGTAAATATTTTTTTAAATACATGTTAATTGAATCAGTGGATGTTTGTTTTGTATATCAATTTATTAATTTTCTTTCCACTTTTTCTCTTTTTTCAAAATGTTCTCCGATGAATCTGACTTAAAATTAGGCCTACAAATTTGAAATTTTTGCTTTAATTTTAGGTGCTTTAATTTTGGGCACCTAAGAAAAAATTTCATGTACCTCTATGGCATGTAGGAGGTAAAGATGACCGTGTTTTGTCAATGAACGTATGGTCGAAAATTTCATATAACGAAGTTATTCATGCGACGTTGCCCCTGATTGGTAGGCAAACCTTCATGCATTGATGCATGGCGGGAACACAAACTCCCCTAGACTGCGCCAGAACGTGACACGCAAAAATCCAGTACATCATCAGATGGGTGCTGATCACGGGCTTTTATTGATTGATTAGTGATTACAGGCGCGTCAACTGCTAAGGTCATTAGTCTCGTTAGTGTAATGTATTTTATTTTTGCGGGAGGTGATGGTCATCTTTCCCCACTGGATGGCGAAATTCGGTACCGACACACACGTCGGCTTTTCGGGTTTTCCCCAACCTGGTATCTCCCTCCATCGTGTCACCGCTCCAGCCGCAGACTGGTCTGCCGGCATGTTTGGTAGTGTAGTGCACGTAAGTGTAAGTAAGGGGAGCGGAGAGGATGAGGAAGAGGAAGGAAAGATGGAGCGCGGTCCGTGGATGCTTTGCGAGGGTACCGCTCCGGCATTCGCCTGGTATTGTACTATTGAGGGGCAGATGTAACGTGTATGTGTAACGTGTGGTGTGGCAGGCCCGTGGTGGAGGAGCCGCCGCCCAGCGCCCCCGAGCGCTTCGCCGGCAAATTCCTGAGCAGGGGCGGCCCCTCGGCGCCCGACGGCCAGTCCAAGTACAACAGGTGAGCCCCCACCACCCCTCCACCCGCCCACTGCACGCCAGCATCAGCTAGACAAGTTGATGATAAATGAATAAAAGAATGAATGGACAAGAAATGCGAGAAATAAAAAAGAGCAGAATAGTTGATTGCGTGAATACAGAACACACATTTTTAAACTAATTCAAAAACCTTTCTCTTATTCTTATTCTCCTCATCCTCCTCCTTCTCTTCTCTCTCCTCCTCCTCTTCCTCCTCCTCCTCTTCTTCCTCCTTCCCCTCCCCCTTTTCCCCTCCTCCCGCTCCTCCTCTTCCCTCCTCCCCCTCTTCCTCTCCTCTCTTTTCCTCTCATCCCTCCTCCACCTCCTCACTCTCCATTTCCTCCCTCCGCCCCCTCCACACTCCTTTTTCTTCTTCTCCTACTTCTACACCTCTATTTTCTTCTGCTTCTGTTCTCTTTTTCTTTCTAATTCCTGTCATTTTCTTCCTTATTTTCAAATGTACCAAAAAGAATGTTGTTGGTATCACTGAAAAGCCCAAAATTAAAGAGAATGAATTTTTGATTTGAGAAATTGGGGTAGTTTTAATTTTTTGTTTTCTTAATTAGGGATAAGATGTGAAATTTAGAAAAGTGACCCACTGGAACCCAAAATTCAATTGTTTCGGCCGTACAAAGCAATTGTAAGTAAAGGTGCTAAATTAATCACCCCCATACCCCACCCCCAAAGTATAGCGCAAGAAGTTTTCAGGTTTTTAAGGGGGGTGCTGGCTTTACCGACTTAGTAAAAACCTTATGAGACACATGACGTATAAGTATACGTTTTCTTAAGCTAAAAATTCTACCCCACTCTCTTACTATAGTTGATTAATCCAACTAAAAAGCGTGTTTAGCAACAAACAAATTGCTCGTTCGCGAATATTAGAAATCTTATTTGCATTGGTAAATCACTTACTGATTTGTTTTCTAGAGTAATGCTAACAAAGTATCACCCCACATCCTTGGCTCTACTCACACACACCTAGCTCAACTAGCCAAAAGACAGCTCAATAAAACATGCTTCGATAGTGAAGCTGCATTTATGACCCGAAGCAAAGAAAGGGACGATATCAGCAATTATTCAGTGCATCAGTGAAACCGGACAAAAAACCCTAATCGTGATGGAGGTCATTGATCCGGAAGCTGAAATACTTCATTACTTCTCCAAAATCTTAAGCATTTTAAAATGACACAGTACAAATGTTAACTAACGCATTTGTACCTTTGTTAAAATGCACGGAAGGTTACATGCATTTGCCCGCGTGTGCATGCGCAGCCGGCAGCAGAGCGCGGCGCCGTCGCAGGGCCCCGCGGCCAACGTGGCGCCCCCGCCCCCCGCCGTGCGCCAGCCGCAGCCGCAGCCCGACCCGCCTAAGCCGCAGGCGGAGCAGCCCAAGTACAACGCAGGGTGAGCGCAGCGGCAGGGCAGCGGTTACGCCCGCAATTGAAACAGGACGCAACCGAGCGCAGTGGCTCAGTGCGTATACGCAATTGGAAGGTTCGGGTTCGATCCCCGGGCCGGCCATCCTGGCCGAGGTGTTCGTGGTTTCCCTCGGTCGCGAGGCGAATGCTGGGACGGTTCCAAATATCCCACAAGCATCTCCCACCTCCTACTACCCCACCCAACATCTCCCACCGTCATCCACTCGAGGTATTACCGAAAATGAATTTTCACGTGCTAGTGCCGGTGACGGCCACCGGCGCTGTGGAGAGCCATCGTCTCTGAATTTTCCTTATTATTTTTACTTTTTTCGCATTACTAAGCCTCTTACTTCGTACGTAGTATCAAGGAAGCATTGTAAACGTGTGGCGCAAATCGGCGATTTTTCGACAGAAAAACTCTTATTGTCGGGTCCTGGTAACGAAAATGTGGATAAAGCTGATAAAGCCTGTTCCTGCAGAGATCGTAGAAAATTACTTCCTCCAACACTATGTGTTGTCAGAATGTTCTGAGGGTCCTTGATATCGAAAAGTTGTTGACTTTAAAATGTCTGTCCCAATGTGGTCACCGTTAACGACTAAACCGTTCAGACGATTATCTCCAAAATTGAAATATGCTAGGTGCAAAACGTACCCCTCCGCCATATGACACAAAGAGTTTTTAACACTTTTTTGTCAAAAATAAATCAAACTATAATTAAATCAGGAATTAACGCAGACAAGAAACAACCCTAAAAAAACGCTTTTCATAGTTATTGTTTAGATGATAGCTTTTTGTGTCGTTGGTGTATGGGATATGACGGAATATCGTAGATGACACGCTTTCCAATTAGTGTTTTAATTTCCTACGTGTCTCTGTAATAACCATGCTTCAGAAAACACAATTGAAGCACAAATTGGCAGAGGGGTGTAAATTGTCAGTGGAACCCTATTTTCATTTTACTTTTAGATATGTTTAAATTCATGTTTGTTTGTTTGTTCCTTGATATCCCGAACTGCGACTTACGATATTTCTTTTCACAGCGGCAGAGGGGAACCCATCAAATCAAGAACACCACCGCAGGCTAAGCCATTGAGCCCGCAACCTGTGGCAAGGATCCCTGACGCCCCCAAATTTGTTCCGAAGGTAAGTTTATCAAGTTTAACATTTTACCACAATTAACACTACAACATAATTTTAGTGGTTTTCTAAATATTTTGAATATTTTAAATATTTTTAACTATTGCCTGATGTTGAAAATAATATTCCACACCTAAAAAAGCTCTGAAATATCTAGAGAAAATACAGCTAGTATCAAAAGAAATGACATTTTAGTTGTATATTGAATTCTCCTAAATAGTGTTTAATTGTTAATATAGTTCTACCTAAATTATATCACCAGTCGTGAACTCTTAAATATAAACCAAAGCGAAGTTACAATAAAGACATGCCGGGAGAGAGCACTATATAAAAGTTGAATGGGGAATTCATTTTATAGGCTATTAAACTCTGTACATTCGTTACAGACAAATTATATGTGATAACATAAACCCGTAAAATCCGTAAGGTGTCATCTGTATGAGTAACTGAATTTTGGACATAACCTAACCCCTCAACAACTCCCTTTGAGTGCCTACTGCTTCACACAGCTAGGCTGTAAGATAACAAGATGGCGGTTTCTACAAGCTAGCCCACTTGTAAATCCTAAGTTCGCGGGTTCATTGGAGAAGGTGGATTTTTGATGATCGGAAAATCGTCAGTTTGCCCTGTCTCGTGGCATGTAAAAGAACCCTTGCAATTGTCCGGCAAAATTATATTCTTCGAGCAATATCCCGTCCTAGTGACATCTCACTTCTCTCGCCCGTACTTTTTGGACTTTGTGTGACCGAGAAAGCTTATCACTGCCATGCGCTGCAAGGGATGCCCACGAGGTGTTCTTTCGTGGAAGATTGCCTAGACTCGCGCAACGAATTCAAAGTACGTTTGGGTCGAAAGTGCCGATAAAGCCCAATAGTGCCCCTCAAATACCCCCATGTTTGTAAACACAGTCGAACTTGGATAAGTTTGAAACTTCTATTAGTGAGACCCGGGCATTTTTACCCCCCTCCCCCCCAAGAAAAAAAATTATTAGTGAGAATTTGAAGCATTTCCAACTTACACGGATTTTCCAACCAGATTTTCGTCGGTGTTTGCTAATAAAGGACTGGACATTCTGGGGTTTCTCCGAAAGACATTTCCGAGTTTTTTTGAAGTTTCTACGCGTTTCTCAATTCTTATTGAAATTCTTATAACCGAACATTCTCTTGAGTAGTAGACAGAACATGCACGAAGAACACATGTATGCACGTCGCAAATGTTGAAGCGAAGTTACATTCGTCGCTGGTGAGTGAAAATTAACGGTACAGTGAGAATAAGGTGAAGTTAAGACACAAGAACTTTGGAAAGAAAAAAATTCAAAAATCCACTCTTTTATTATATTTGTGGTTTTCATCGAGTAATATAATGTAATATGATATAAACATTCTACAAACATTATATATTAACATTGTTTAAAAATTAAATTTTCTGTAAAACTATTTAATTTTTGACATTCCAGTTTGTAAAATTGTAAATTCCTCAACAGGAGAACGCTTTTTTAACTCGCATAAGCGAGACACTGAATAAGTAAAACAGCTCTTTAAGTGATAATAAAATGTCCCCTGAAATTACCCCGTTCGAGCATATACTGTGTGAAGTACGTTGGATGAGCGAAGGGTTTCCTCACGCTGTGCGATGACAGTTCCAGAGCGTGGGGCGGCGCGGCAACTTCGGCCGGCCGGACCGCCTCAACCTGGCGGAGGTGGAGGACGAGTTGGTCGACGAGGAGGACCCCGAGGACAACGAGGACGTGGAGGAGGAGGAGGACGAGGCCATCAACGACGCGCTGCACCCGCGGCCGCGGCCGCTGCGCGCCGACGCGGTCGTGGCGGCCCGCGGCGCCGGCCTCCGCGCCGCCCCCTCGGGCCTGGGGCCAGCGCGCCGCTCGCGCGCCCCCCTCCGCCCCCGCCTGCCTCGCTGCTGCCTCACCGTCTTCGCCTCATCGCCCGCGCGGCTCGCCGCCGCGGCAAGGAACGCCGGCCCGCGCCGCCCGCACAAGCAAAGCAGCAGCACAAGGTGAGCCAGCCCTCGCATTGCCATCGCCTCTCACCGGAAGGGCTCAACTGATGTCGTGCAGTGCCTCTGACCGGGAGTTAGGGTTCGCTCCGACGGTACCAGGGGTTCCACACTGGTAGTAGCTTCGTTGCGTTCTGTCCCTGCCTGGAGGAGAATTCTAGAGGCCGGCTGCTCTCGTCGGTAGTTTCCCGTGGTTTCTCCGTTCAATACCAGGCGAAAGCCGGAGCAGCACCTTAACAAACAGATTATTAACCGCGCGCGATCTTTCCTTCTCATTCCTTGGCCTATCCTACCCCTTACTTACACACACATACACTTACTTGCACTACACTACCACACATGCCGGGAGACCGGTGGGGAGATTATAGCTTCTCCCGGCTGGGAGTGGTTCCCCGCTGGTGCGAGATACCTTCTTGGGGAAAAACCCGCTAACCGACGGTTGATCGTAGCCTGATCTTGCCATCACCGCCAACTCTCGAAAAAACGCATGCCCTACCCGTACGGGACAAATGGCCTTAGCAGTTGACGCGCCCGGAATCACTAATTAAAAAAGGCATCGCCGCTGCAGCAGCACTAACCCATCTTGGCCAGTTTGTTAGGGCATTGCTCCGGTATTCGGCCAAGTTGTATTCATTGAAGAAACCCCCGGAAGAACTAATCTTTTAAGTGTCGAAAATCCCCCACCGTCGGGGCTCGAGCCCTCAATCCTTGCGGTCAGTGACTCTAGATGCTGTCACTGAACCATGGCAGTCTGCAGAATAAGAATGTGCTGTCAAAAGAATTCGAGCATTATTTTATCATAAATTTAATTTATTTTCATCAAGGTACTCGCTTGCTGCTCACCCCTTTTTCGTAGGCCTACGTTTGATAATTAATTTATGTTGTATTAGACTCAGATTTCTGAACTAATTTGTTTTGGAGACAGTTTCAGTGTGTATTCTATAAAAATAAAATATCACTCTTATCTAATGTACTTGTGCCAAGATCCGGTTATTCTTTAGTTTTCGGATGTGATGGTTTCTTTACACTCTTTGTTTGCGGTGTGCCTGCAGTGTGCGAAGGGAATACAGTTTGAATAGTTAGATATCGTGCTGTCGATCAGTCGACGTGATTACGAAAATCTCTTTGGGCAAGAGCCAGGGCGGCTCGTGATCATGCCATTAGGGTGCTCTCCCTTCTTCCCCCTCTCTGTCTCATACACACTCCCATATACAAAGACATACATTACATGCATACATAGATTCACTACACACATAAAATATGACAATTAAACACAGCATCTTATGAATTCTGATGGCATACCGAACGGTATCTTTCATCAGCAGTGAGGGTTGTCCGCTTTTCTTTTCACAACACGTGCTTCGACTTCGCTCGGCAAGGATCCCTCCGAAATATTTACTACTAGAGTCGGATTATTGCGTATCTACTTAGTACGTTCTGGAACCGTTTTCCCAGGGGTGTTAAGAGTTCTATTGTACATGTTGATTCAAAACTTTTTTACTCGCACGTTTGCTAAAGAGATTTTTTCCATATGCTCGCTGTACAAAAATCGTGCTAAAAATACGAGTTACCGAATACTCAAAACAATCTAGATAATTTGCCGCCCCACGAAGTCAGTCATCAACGCAGTTTCTTTTCAGCAAATTTTTCGTCGCGCTTGACAGAAAAACTAACACTCTAACTTCGGTTTTTCAAAAACGCATGAAAAAATTAGACAATTATACACGTTTACAAAATGCATTAGGGCTTTCATTAATTCGAAATGTATTTGTAATTGCAACTCACTTCAAAATATAAGAGAATGCGCATATAATATTAAATTAACACAATTCTTATGATTGCAACATTGCAGGGCAATTTGCGTTTCGCGCGCTAGGGAAGATCTGTTTTATTGGAAGGGATGATTGTTCTTTTCAATGAAGAGATATCTCACACTGCCTTCGTTCAGTGTCAAACTTACCTTTCTCTTCTTTACTTCTACAAACTTGTGCTAGCTGAATGTTACATCTTCGAGACATGTCAAGACACTCGCTGAGATTGCACATTCCGCCGAATGCTCCTTCCGTCCATAAAGCCACTATTGTTCCCTCTTTCCCCTACCTGCCCCGCGGCAGCCTACGACGCGCAAATTACTCGTTCGCAATTCCCGAGTGTGCGCCGGCTGGCTTTCACGAAGGGCACTGGCGGCGGACTGTAAATACCTGCTTCCGGACAGCGCGTGTTATAAAATTCTATAATCCGGAAACTCTCTCAGAGGACTTGTATTCCCCCCCCCCTTTTTTTTTATTTTTGCGTCTAAATCGACGCAACGCGTCTTCTTTAATTCCTTGTTATTCTCCGTTAATAAGCGCCCCCTAGGGGCCGCTGTGTTGTCAATTCACGTCAGTCGTAGTCAAATCAGGGAATTGTCGACAGGTAGAGTCTTCGCGCTCGCGTCTCGCACGCGCCCTGCGTCATCTACCCGTCAGCCAGAATTGGAAAGGAATAACGATATGGGGTAAGGTTTGGGACGCTTCATAGAGGTTGGATTAGCCCCTGTGAAGCAGGCAAACTCATTTTGTCGTAACGAATTTCACATGAGGTTCTACGGGGATTCTACGGGAATCGTGGGGTGAAAGGCAAGCGACGAGAGCTCAGAGCATTGATGTTTAATAGAAAATGCACCGAATTAATTTGGGTGTGCACATGCGAACGTGCGAATAGGCACGAGCCGCCACTGGCAAGAGTGTATTTACTCACAATCACTTTATACGACGACCATAGGATTCTGGAAGTGCTAATGTTCGTGGTTGTAACAAATACTGTGTGTCTCTATTGTATTTGGTTTTAATGATGCCCCGTGCTCTGGTTTCGTATGATGCATACGAGTCTAGAAAGATGTTAACCTGTGTACTTGTGATTATCATATTTTGAAAAACGGGCTAGGGCTTTGTTTTGTTACACATTTTTAAGTTTTCTGGGCCACTTTTCGTGGAAATCACTAGACTTGCCGAAATGAATGATATGCGGTTTTTGAAAAAATTGTCACATATCATACGAAGAAATTGTACCATTTTCAAATCCTGATATTGTTGTAAATATTAACATTATTGAAAGAGAAATGGGTATTGTTGTACTGTAGATGAACATCCAAAATTCATGCCTTAAAAATCTCATTACTTTTTGTTTTTTGTAATGTTGGTTTTATAACCAGGCGTTGGTGATATCGATATCGATAGGATAGGAGGTTCCTCCATTCTTTTCCTAGTTGTTTAATTTGTTTTTATGTATGTTATTGTTGAAGTTTTTGATGTATGTTGAGTTTCTTTTCAAAACATTTTATCAATGTTTTACCCATGTCTTAATGTTTTAGTTTCACTCAACTTTACTTATTTTATTCATTTCAATGAAAATCCACTTGACTAATCCACAATGTGAAATCCTTCGAGAGGAGAGATTCCCATACCCACCGATGATATTTTAGAATAATAGCTTCCGCCTTATTCTTTTAAGAGGTGTGAATAAATAATGAAAGATGGCAAAAGTTAAGAAAATCTGATGGTGAAAGTAATTTTGGTTGTTAAAAAATAATTGCTTTCATAATTGCAATGATATGTGCTAAAGGTAAAGTGTTTTGTTTTCTATTCATTATTAATGTAAAACTTTTTATTCTCTTCCAGGATTAGATCTCCACCAGAACCATCTGGCTTCAGACAGCCCCTGCCTGTATATGACACCTATTACACATACTGAAAGCTGCCTCACAGACACTCAAGTACAATTTCTTTCTGACAATTTGTTCAGGCACCCAACTTCCATGAGTCTTAAATGTACATTTGGGAATGAAACACTTTTTTTGTTGCAAGTTGATTTTTAAAACTTCCAGACATCACAAAATATATTGTTTCACAAGTATTAATAACTTGTTACAAACCGATGAAGTCAATTATTCTTCCAAATCCAACATAAAAACTGACACTGTTTTTACTAAAGTGTAGAATATCAACTTGCATCAAAGGTATAAGAGCAGTAGACCAAAATGTCGCAATAAAGCTATGAACTTTATTCCTTGAATATATTGTGAAACAATGTATTTTTCTTGATAGAAACAGTCATCTTTCTGTCCATTTGGTTTTAGCTAGTTTTTGGTATTATGTACATTTATTTTGAATATGTACTGTGTTATTTCCTGAGTTAGTGGTGTTCAGAGACAAGGTCACCTCAATGTTAAGGTTTTAATCAATTCTATCATAATATTTACATACTGTATCTACCTTGATCAGTAATTATACCAATACGAAATCAGTGAACTAGAGCTAAAGAAAAATTATTGGAAAAGACATTGCACTGTGACAAAGACAAGTATTAGTCATACGAAATACTGAATGCACCTAAATGGTAGTATACAAAAGTGGGTTGAATACATAATGATTAATCTATCCAGACATTATCAACAATAGGACATAACAATTGTTATCTTAAATTATTCAACTGAACAGAACTGTGATAAAACAGTTGGAGTAATTACTTTTCTGTTGTAATCTAAACATTAAATTAAACTTTTCTATGTCCCTTCAGGATGTTCAAAATTGTATATTCCAAAAGTATGTGAATATACATTGTATGATCTGCCTCTGGTTCCTGTATTTTTCCCCTCTCTCAAAGACTTGAGTTTTTAAATATTCCAAAATCAGTCTTTCATTCACAACTTATTTTCTCACTACCCAAACAACATGTAAATGCTGTATGAAATTAATCTCTTAAATTTCAGTTTGAAAATGGAAGTAAAGCTCTTTCTTTAAAAGTATCTGTAATTTCTGAAATCTT